GATGTAAAAAAGTTGGTTTAACTTTTCTAAATCATATTCTGAGATGAACGAATATTTCAAAAGAAGTTTCAACTGACATGAGTTCTATTATATAAATATAAATCCAAAGCTAACTCTTTAAAATTGAGCAAAATCTATTTCCTTAAATACTTGTGGATTTCTCTCCAAGGCCACATTTTTATTTCCGGGTGGGCTGACTTATGAACAAAGAAAGTACATAGTCACATAAATATGGATTCAATGACCCTTTTAACCATAACTAAGGAGAAGGAAAAAAATGAATAGTATTTGTATTTGGGAGTCCATTTCTAGAAATAGAGAGTTAAATTAAAGTTAAATTAAATCTAAAGTTAAATTAGACACATACCAAGAAAAGCAGATGATTAAAAGAACAAAGAAGACAGAGACTAACTCCTTGATTAATGAGAAATTGTATAGTGATATACTCTAAAGAAGTGAATATTGAATTTTTTAGGATGTGAGCGATTCCAATACTGTAGCTATGCTTACCTACTATGAAGAGAATGTGGGCAGACATGTCCACATATAGTTAATCAACAGCATTTCAAAGAATTCTGGAAATTACTTTTTTTTATTCAAGTATTTGAAGAAAATGGAAACAAGTTTGAAATTCACACCAACAAAATGAAAGAACTTTTACACGTTTAATATTTACTTGAATAGATATTAGAGGGGAAGCAGATATTCTGTAATAATTTTCTTTTAAATCATAACTTGGTGAGTCTGAGCAGATACAGCTGACATCTGGTTCCCCATGTATTGACTCTTGTCCTCCTTGCCCACACTTGAAGCCACCACCCTACGTTCTTACTACCTTGACTCCCAAACTTCATGGAAAAAAACACACCAAATTCTCTCTTTTTGGTCCCCTCAATTCCTTGAAATCCAGTTTTTCACTCCCAGCACTCTCCTGGCATTGCCCTTTGTAAGATCCCCCTTGCCTCACCAATCAGCAAATTCAATGGTCTTTTTTTTACAAGATTTTGAATCAAAGGCATTGCCCACTTCCCTGAAATTCTCTCTTCTGTTGGTCGTGACATGCTCTCTTTCCAGGCTTTCCTCCCACCTCTCAAGCTCTTCTGCTTTGATTTCATGTTTCTCTTCTCCTTGCTTTCCTCTTCCTTGTTCTACAAACTGTCCTCAGTAAACACAGACACTTGCACAAATACAAATACCATTGTTTATATCTTTTAAATTCTAGAGAAAATGGTGAGGATATCAGTTGTCAATGTTCTTAACCATGGTGTGCTTAAATTATCACATAATAGCCTAATTCCAAGAAGTGAAAGAAAAAGGACATTTGAGTTACTCAAAATTATTTTTAAGACTACTTGGCGGATCTGTGATTTAGCATTAACCCACATATTTCAAAACTACAGGCTTTGGTATGGTAACAAAAAGCTTCAAAAAAATAAGTAATCTTCTGTATTTATTTATTTTTCTTTATAAAAAAATGATTGCAGTTTTCCATGTTGCATTTCCTCTGACATGCCTCATATGAGAAATTAAGTTATCATGTGTTAAGTTTTCTTTAAATGTTTGAAATCTGACTACTAAAGGAGCCAGAAATCAGACACAAACTTAGGATAAAATTTTATGCAAAATTTAAGTAAGGTGTTTGAACTTTAAGTATAATTTGATACTATTGATGTTCTCATTCAAAATTTAATACAGTAATTGCAAAGAATAGTACAGTTTATAAACATGGTACAGTGCTGTTACTAAACCAGGTTCATTTTGCCTGTCACATGGAAAGCCAATCACCTAGACAATGAGCTTGCAGCAGAGAAAGCGTTTATTTACGAGGCAGCCGCGTGAGGAGACGGGAAAACAAATCTCAAATACGCCTCCCAAGAAATGGGGATTAGGGATATTTATGAAGTAGAGGAGCAGGGTGATCTGAAGTGTGGGAATAGATGATTGGAGGTAAGAAGTGAGGTAATTGATGATCTGTGCAAGTGTAGTCAGGCTTCATGGCTTTTCATAGGACAAATGTTCACAAAATGGTGATGTTAGCATGATCTGAGGGTGATTCCGGTTCCCTGACATCAGGAGTTCACCTATTGGACATCTATGAAGGCCCAGATGGTGGGTTGGTAGTCTGGACTGGCCTGAACCAGACAGGGGTAATTGTTAGTTCCTGAAAAATAACTTTGGCATCTGTTACCATGGTGACCCAAGCATCATGGAGATGTTATCTCTAAGGAACCTAGTGGGAGTCAGATAATATACTGCCTGTCTTCATGACTTAAAAATAAGCAGCACAGCTAACAATGGGTGAGTGAACAACTAAAGACTATGATTAATAATTGCCTAAAAAACTTTAGTTACTAGCTACCTAATCATTAATGGCTTACTATCCACTGGTTTCAATGCCAACAAATTGAGAACCACACTGAGAGATTTTATGAGTGTAATGAATATATATATCATTAGTTCACAAATATACTTTTGTTTTATTTGTGTAATATAAATTTTAGTCAAAATCACATTGAAAGGAACTTGCAATCCTGCAATAGAAAAGGCCACTGGGTAAAAATGCTTAAAGAATAGAAATTGCTATGAATTTTGAGATTATGCTAGTTCATCCTGAACCGAATGAACTCTATTAAAATGGGAAATAATAGTTTTTCTGTGGTGATCAAGACAAACTGTAAGAGATCAAATCTGACGGCCAGGAAAGGGAGCAGTCAGTGTGCAGTTTGCCTGCAGGTAAATTGCCGTGTGTTAAAGTGAATTCACTAGCTAGAGCAATTATTTTTCTATAATATTTTTCCTTCTGAGGCTAACTGCAAATGATACATGTAGCAAACCAACAACCAAAAAAAAAAGATGCAAGATGTTTTATTATCAATGAAGTGCTACATCTGTGAAGGTAACTGAAAGATACATGTAACAAATCAACCACCAAGAAAAGAATACTATGTAAAATGTTTTATTATTGATATAATCTGAGGCATACTTATAATGGTACTTCAGATTTCTTTAGCTGAGGCAAATCTAAACCATAGAGTAACTTGGCCTACTCACATGAACTGGAAATGTTTCTAACCTTGTGATTGACATACATATACAGCAGAGAATAACAGGGGAGAGTTTCCCCACTGTCCTTGCTCAGGGAGCTCTCAAACTGGTTATTTTCAGTCTAAGCCACTTATAACTTCAAGGGCTTTCCATTTTATACCAGCTTCCTCTATGTTTTCACAGTTCCAAACTCAATTTCTGGCACATAGGAGTGTCCTACACCACTGAGTGGGGACTGTCCTCACCCTACTGAGGTGGAAATGAGCATCATTTGTGTTGCACAATCATGGGGCAGCCCCTGGGCCTCTGATAAAGATGGCGTTATAGTGCCCACTCCATCATGTCCCCCTGGCACTAGTAACAATAGAGTTTGCTCAGTCATGGCTGAGAAATTAACAAGAGTTGACCCTGCTTCTGTGTCCACAGCTTCCCTGAAGCTCCAGTGTCCTGGTCCACAGGCCCCTTTGCCCTCTCTCCATCCTCACATATCTTTCTTCCTTCTCCACAGGGGCAGCTATAATCTTTAGTTTGTTTGGGAGTCAAGAGCCTGGTTCCATATCTATTCTTTTCAGTCTATTGTTATGACAAAAACATTATGATCTTAGTTCTTCATGACTGACACTTCACAAATACTAAAGGGCATCTCTTGAGGATTAAACACTTGGCTGTGGTCTCTGCTAAGATCTCTGAAAGCTTGTTTTGCTATATAAATGTGGAGGATTGCCTTTTTTGTTCTTTTGCCCTGGCTAGGAGGATATTTTCTGGAAACAACTGAGGTGGAAGGACCTAGCTCCCTTCCAGAAATAAGGAATTGGAAGGGATTGGGAGTGAGAACACAGTAGGTACTGGGTTGGTAACACAGCATCATAGCTGAAAGTACAGACTGCATAGGATCAAGTTCTGGGTCTACCACTAGATAGGCAAGTTATTTAATTTATTCATTAGCTAAATTGGGCAGTTTATTTTACCTCTCTGTGACTTACTTTCCACACCTGTGTTAGTGCCTTATGGCTGGTATATAAAATTACCAGAAACCTGGTGTCTTAAACAACAAACATTTAGTCTCGCATGGTTCTGGAGGCTAGAAGTCTGAAATCAGTCACACCTGGGGGCGGTAGTCAAGGTGTTGGCAGGGCCATGCTTCCTCTGGCGCTTTAGGGGAGAATCCTTCCTGCCTCTTCCAGTTTCTCGTGACTGCCAACATTCCTTGGATGCTCATGCCCACGTCACTCCAATCTCTGTAGTCACACCACCTTCTCTTCTTCTTGTGTCTAATCTCCCTCTGTCGCCCTCTCTAAGGAGACCTGTGATTGTGTCTAGGGCCCACTCAGATAATCCAGTATAATCCTCCCATCTCATGACCCTTAATTTAATCACATCTGCAACATCTTTTATTGCCATAGAAGATGAAATTCACAGTTTCCAGGGACTAGGACGTAAAGATCTTCTGCAGGGACTATTATTCATCCTACTGTAAATTGGTTTGATAACAGTACCTATGTGAACATTAAAGGATATAATACATAAAAAGTGCTTGGAAGAAAAGTGCTTAAAATGATGTCTCCTATGCAATAAAGCACTCAATAATTGTTAGCCCATAATGGTGATGTCAATGATGGTAAAGCAACAAGAAAATGCAGACAAAAAGTTTCAAAATGAACAAAATAATTTTTTAAATGAACGTAAGTAGAGGGCCTCATCTCTGGATTTTTGATGTGTGCTAACGTTAAAATATTATTATTCAAAGGACTGTGTCTCAACACTGAACAATTATAACCCAGTACTTTAGGCATATGATATCCACAGCCATTTTTGGTTTTGCCTTTTGTTACTTTTCATTTGATATTTAAGTCGTTTCAACAACTTTATTCATCCTGATTCTTCCTAAGGTGAAAATCAAAGATGTGATGTGATACGATTGTCTCTTTTTACCCTCTTGTCTCCTCCTCACTTAGGATACAGACCTAATGACATTCAACATCTCTGTACACCGGTCATGGTGGCGGGAACACGGACCTGGCTGTGTCCGGAGAGTGCTGCCTCCATCAGCCCATGGCATGATGGACGATTACACGTACGTCTCCGTCACAGGCTGCATCGTCGACTTCCAGTACCTGGAGGTCATCCACAGCGCCGTCCAAATACTACTCTCCGTGAGTGTCACGTTTGCGTCATTGTCTGATCAGAACTCTCCTTTATTGGCATTTTATATCTAAACTTTCCATCTGCACCCCCCTGGTAGATGATGCCATTATGCTAACATTAGTTATACTTACTGGCAGGTTACATCATTATTCCTCTTGGTATCCAGACACTTTGTTTTTAGAACCAGTTAGTTGCTGTCATTTCTAACTTGAGATACAATCCACATCATTCAGTAAATAGTATCACTGTCCCCGGAAGTGATGCATTGTCCGTTCACTGCCTCAGGCTCTTCTACTATCACTTCTACTACTGCTTCTGCTTCTAATGCATTCTTCTACTACTGCTTGTCAGTTCCAGAGAAAGAGGGATGGAAATGCACCTAGTGGCTTGCTCAATCTAATAAACTTCATATTTCAAATAGTTATTCTTTCAGACAACAGATCCCTTCAAAGAGTCTTATGCATTTTAGTGCCTAAAATTTGGTGTCAGGATACAATTCCACATAGAGAAAGAGAGAGAAGAAAAGGCTTGATTGGACCACAGAAGGTTTACGTGCTGGGGATTTCTTAAAGTTAATTTCTTTCCACCAGATTGTCCCACTGACAATTTGAGCACAGTGTGGAGTGAAATTAAAATATATACCATCATTGAGAATGGTGTTCCCTGAGATCAAACAAGGAGTTGACATGTTGTCTGAGTCAATATACAATAAAGCCATTCTCAACCACACCTTTCATATAAACCAACCATCTCAGTTCTTCTGTCCAATTGCATAATTAAAGTCAGATTAAGAGATGCAGATTCAACAATAAATAAATGTATGACAGCAATATAAGAGATGTATGTCAGTGAAGAATATAACTTGGAATTATTTCTAGAAAAACTTTGAGAAATCCTTGCTGTCACTTACCATATCTGTTGTCTACTGCTGTGTAATAAATCACTCCAAAATGGAACTACTCAAAACAATATCTATTGATTGCTTAGACTTCTGTGGGTCGGGAATTTGGGTGGGGCTCAGCTGGGTAGTTCTTCTGCTCCACATAGTATTGGCTAGGGTTACTCGTGTGAACCTTTCAACCGGGAGCTCTCCAGGGGCCAGAATATCCAAGAAGACCTCACTCATACATGTGGTGCTGGCAGTTGGCCCACATTCTCCTCCACACAGCTTCTCTTTTTGCAGAAAACTTGACAGGCTTTCGGACAGCAAGGTAGCTGGGTTCCAAGTGGAGAAGGCTAAGATGTAAGCATTTATCAAGCCTCTACTTGAGTAATGCTTACCATTGTCCCATTGGCCATGGGGGGGTCATATGAGCAAGCCCAGAGTGAATGCAGGAGGGGTCTGGAGAAAGGTGAGAATACCAGGAGGCATTTGGGGCCACCAATGTGGCGGTCTTACCTCACTTACATAATCTATTAATTATTGTTCTTTAACCTGAATATGTCATGTTTTAAAATAGTTTTAGAGCACATTTGAATTGTAATTTTCTAGAAAAACTAAAGATTAAAGTAAAAGATTTAAAAGTCTTTCAACGTTCTAGTTCAATGAAAGGCAAATTCTACCCTGAATTCAAAGAAGAAGGTTTTACCTCAATACAGAGGAAATTTCTTTCAGAGATATAACAGGGAATCTGATAATTCTCGGTTTCTATATGCTGTCATTTATCAATATATGTTTATAAGTCTTTCCCTATCCTCTGGTCTTTCTTTAATCTCCCAGCAGTTACAAAAGAAACTATGGCAAAATATTTATGTTTAAATCTTTGTATCAAAAAAATATGGAGGCAAGTTTTCTCTTAAAATCTTTCAGCCTATTTTAAGGTAACAGAGTACCCTATTACCATATACCATATAGATTCTAAAGATTCTTATTTTTTTTTGTTAAGGAAGATTCACCCTGAGCTAATGTCCATTGCCAATCTTCCTCGCTTTGCTTGAGGAAGACTGTTGCTGTGTTAGCATCTGTGCCAATCTTCCCCTATCTTGCATGTGGGATGCCACCACAGCATGGCTTGATGAGCAGTGTGTAGGTCTGTGCCCAGGGTTCCAAACCTGCAAACCCCTGGCCACCAAAGCAGAGTGTGTGAACTTAACCACTACATCACCAGGCCGACCCCTTAACGTTTTTAATATTGAAAGATTTTTCTAGAATCTTTCTTCTTTTCTTTTTTTTTTCTTTTAAAGATTGGCACCTGGGCTAACAACTGTTGCCAATCTTTTTTTTTTTCTGCTTCATCTCCCCAAACCGTCCCTGTACACAGTTGTGTATCTTAGTTGCACGTCCTTCTAGTTGTGGGATGTGGGACACCACGTCAACGTGGCCTGATGAGTGATGCCATGTCCGCGCCCAGGATCCGAACCCTGGGCCACCGCAGCGGAGCGCGTGAACTTAACCACTCGGCCATGGAGTCGGCCCCTCTAGAATCTTTCATATGTGCCTATACCCCCTCCTTTTAAAAAGTCATTCATAGTAAATTGCTAAGCCATTTTGTGGTGTGATGGTGTGAAGTCCAAATTTTTATAATGCAGCAGAATGCTATGAAATCAAAAAGCCATTTCTCCATAGTAACTCAATTCAAATGAACAGCAAGGTGAAAGTATTTATTTGATAAGGAGCCGAACTGACACATAAAAACCTACACTAAAGAGAAATACTAAATGAAGTGTATGTTGCCACCTGAAAGTACGTGCCACTTATAAATGAATTCCTCGACATACTCATCTAGTGGACATTCCAAGCTGTTCACCTGCATACATAGTCCTGACCATACTGTTCAGCCTTCCAGCAATAAACGGATTAGATGCTGATCTCTGACTTTTCTTGTGTAATATGCCTGTGGGACAAGATTTCCAATATTTTATCTTTTTATATTAAAATGAAATATATCTTGAAATTGTTTTACAACTATCCAATTATGTGGTTGATTTTATATGAGTTTCTTGTATTTTACACTTATTTCTTATAAATATGTTTACATTTATTAGAATCGTGATTTTTTAATCTGATATGGGAATACTTCCTGTATCAGTTGCCTAGGATGTACTGAGATGTCAGTTTTGTTACTGAAAAACAGGAGTGATAGTTGCAAGATTAGCCTCTGCTTCATCAGCAACAGCTAAGCACACAGACAAAGGGCTTTGTGTCGGGCAAGGTCCCATAGGCCCTGCTGCACCAGGAGTTCCCCCGTACTTGCTGGAGGCACAGGAATATCTAGGACACATGGGAGAGACCGATGGAGGCGGCCAGGAGGGTGGAGGGATTCCCTCGGGGTTTCACGGCAGCAGCTCTTTGCAAGTGAGAGGGAAGCGCTTGATTGATTTCCCGTGGATACAGCTCTGCTGGTGAATACTGCCTATACAGTTGTCCTGCATTAAAGTAGAGCGTGGAACTGGAAGAAATGAAATCCCAGTCATAAGCACTTTGCAGGAACTGTGTACAAACTTGATGGAAACAAAAAAAAAAAAAAAGAGCAGAACTCAGAAAGAGGGCAATGGGCTGGGATCCCATATGGGGCTGTCACACAAGGCTCTGAGGGCATCTGGGACCCACTCAACTGGCCCCAGCACAGTAGCTCATGCATTCTCCCAGAGCCCCTGACCCTGCACAGCAGCAATCTGCTTTGGGCTTCCTTCGCAGGTGCTCAGCTTGAGGGGGAGAGGGAGAGTGGAAGGCGGGGAAGTTCCTGTTGCCCTCGTGTCACCAAGGCCTAGAGCAGGGCTCCTGCAAATGATCAGCAACACCATGTTACAGATCAGGGTGGAATCCAAGAAAGGCTCTGGACAGTATGAGAGGAGGAGCAAGATTTACTCCCCGGATGAGATGACAAGTCAAAGGCGGTAGCCAGGATGAGGCTGTAGGGTGGTCCTAGTCACTCCTCTCCATGCTCACTGCCCCTGCCTTGGTTCACATGCTCATCATTGGGCACGTGAAGGATGGCCAGCAACCTCCTAAATAGTCTTCCTGGCCCCAGGTCCACCCCACCCACCATCACGCATGCATTTGCTCCCAGGGAGATGATTACAAAGTGCAAATGTGATCGCTCACTTTCCTTTTGATCACCCTTCAAAGACTCCCATTACCTTCGAGATGAAATCTGAATTCGTGCCCTGTCATGAGAGGCCCTCATGACCTGCCGCTTGCCTGACTCCCAGTCTTATCTCCTGCCACTCCCCAAGAGAACCCATCCAGTCTCTGCAGAGCGTGACCGTTCCGAAGGCAGCCCTGCTGCCCACACGCAGCCCTCTGCTTGGAAGGGCTCTCCACCGCAAGCGCCCTCTTACCCCAATCTCAGCTCTTCATCCGCCTGGCCACAGTCCACTAGTAAACATCTTCCCCCAAGGTTTCAGGATGTGTTCATTTAATTTTTAAAGTAGATAATACATTCACTCAGTTCAAAAATGTAAAAATGTGTGCAGAGAAAATACTCCCTCCCATCCTTGTGCCCTGACTTGCCTGGTTCCGCCATCTCTGCTCCCAGACAGGCAGCCAGTTCTGTTTTGTTTGTTTTTTAGTGTTACGCATGTGATTCCAAAATGTCTTTATGCAAATACGACTCTATATCTTTATTTGCCCCCACGAAAGACAGCATATGACATGCAGTTCTGAGGCTTTTCTTTTTTTTTACCTATTATATATTTTGTAGTTATTTTTATATTAGCCCATCAGTGTTGCCTTGTTTATTTGATGGCTCCCTATTTATGGACATTTGGACTGTCAACTTCATCCAAATATAATGATTTTGGATGTACATAACATATATATACATAACAATATATGTAACATACGTATATACCTCACATAATATATAATACATAGTATAATATAACGTCAGTTATGTATTATAATTATGTGACTATTATACACAGTGTTGTGTCACTGAGAGCATTTCCTAGACCTTCCCAGCTCACTCACCCCCAGGCTGCACTAGACAACCTGCCACGTGAGCACACTGTCCCATAATTATTGAGTCTCTGCTCTATTTTATGAAAGCTCCTTGCAGGCCAGAAT